AACTTCTTTTTTTCATTGGGTTTATTATATTTCATACAATAATTATACATGTAGAATCAACTTTTTATCAATTTATAATAATTTAAATATATTACTTATTCTACAATCTAATAACGTATGTTTACATTTTCCGATTAGTGCATATTATGTAATAATAATATATTATATCAGAACAAAAAAATATTATGTACTTCTCTTTAAAAATTTATAAACAATATCTAGTGCTTTTAAAATATTATAATTATATAATCTTCAATGAATGAAACTCAACAAATATACATTAATAACTATCAATATATAAATCATTATATATTTTGTATTTGAACTTTCTACATAAGACAAATGGTAAACTAAAAGTAATATTATTTTATATATTATATTGAAACATTTTAGATTCAACCTTAATTATGTTGCGATCGATTTACTGTACTAGTTTTAATTTTAAAATTATATTATATTAATGTCTGAGACACATACCTACATATAATATAAGATTATTATATAATAACACTTTTATAATTGTGTGACTCTTTTTCTAAATAATTATCACTATGACTATTTTATTGTAACCATAATTATTATTAAGGCGACTAATATATAATATGTATCTTTTTACATTTAAGTGGTTTTTGATAAGTACCTCAGTTGATAAAATGCTGACAAAGTTACGTAAAGTTTTCAGACTAAATATTATACTAAGATTAATAACCAATATAAAAGTTATAGACAAACTTAGTTGTCTCGAGCATTTAAGGGAAACCTACTTATCGAGTGATCACAAACAACAATACCTGCATAATAATATTTTTTTCACATAATTTAATAACTTTCAGCTCTTTCAATTAATAATATACATTTAAAAATAATGTGGTTACTATACAGGGTGTTTCTGAAATGGATGAGGTAACTAGTATAGGCATACTCAATGTGATGGCCCAATGAAGATTTTTTTTCTATCTTCAAAATCTGGGTTTATACCTATTATTATTAGATCATTATCTTAATTGTAAAAATAAATGGTTGTATTTTTTGCAAAATTCTCATACGAATCGAGGTGTCACATCATTTTCGAGCTTGTCGAGCGTTTTTCACTCTCGAATAAACGACTAAAAAAAAATAGTGTGGCACGTCGATTTGTATGAGAACACTACAAGATAAACAGTGGTAATATTTAATTGTTGACATTTAACATACACAATCAATTAACGTATTATTTTACATTGTCAATCAATAAAAATGATAAAATAATGACAAAATTAGGGTTAACAAAGTTTTAAATGAACGAATTTACTGACATACATTGATTTGTGTGATTTAGATGTAGGTACAGATAATAAAATATGGTAACTTTTATTCTTGCTGTCTATTATAAAATAACTAATTAACCGTAATTTTTACATAAAGAACATAAGTTGATTTTATTATAGCTGAGTTCAATATTGGATATTGAACAACACTTTAAATTTATTTTTAAGATTTAAGTTTTTAATTTACCTTTTGAACAATGGAGACATGGATTACCTACACTAACATTGAATTGAAGAAAGAATATGTTTATGCCAAAAAATTACCTTATTAACCTTATAAACTTTTTATGAAAATTAATAATGTAGCTGATGCCTGATATCATTCGTCAAACACCAAATTTATTGGAAAAAACTTGGTTATCATTACATCTTTTAATCGAAAGTGCATCAAAGTTAATGGGAGTCACATACTCACATTGAACAACTGTAGATAAAAATAGGTTTTCAAAATAAAGTGTATTTAATTATGATTATTTTAGAATGTAACACAACTTAAATGAATGTCAGTACATTTAATAATTTAAAACTTTGTTAACCCTCATTTTGTCATTATTTTATCATTTGTATTGGTTGACAATGTAAAATAAGACGTTAATGAATTTTGTATGTTAAATATCAACAAATAAATATCACCACTGTTTATCTTGTAGTATTCTCATACAAATCGATGTGCCACACTATTTTTTTTAGTTGGCGATTCGAGAGTGAAAAACGCGTGACAAGCGCGAAAATGATGTGACACATCGATTCTTTGAGAAATTCGCAAAAAATCTAACTTGACCATTTATTTTTACATTTAAGATAATGTTCTAAAAATAATTTGTATAAACCCAAATTTTGAAGAAAGAAAAAAAATTTCAAAAAAATTTTCATTGGCCCATTACACTGAGTACGCCTATACTAGTATTACATAATCCATTTCAGAAACACCCTGTATAATATTTTACTATACCACGCTGGTTATTTTAAATCTAATTTATTTCTAGTCTGGTATTTATGCGGTTGAAATGGTTGACGGACGACTCTACGTGTATTTGGATTTGGGTGCTGGCGGCACTCGTGCTGAAGTGAGTTCGGAAAAGATCAAAGTCAACGACGGTCAATGGCATGAGTTTTCGATATGGCGTAATGACAGAGATATACACTGCACCGTAGACGATTACTCTTCAGATTTCACGACAAATGGTAAGAAACATATTATTACAGTTTAAAAATATTTAATTTACGTTTAATTGTTGTTTGTAAAGGTTTTTTCGACAAACGTTGATCACAAATCTGAAAACTGTAAGGTCTTATAGCCCCACCATTTATCTATAACTTTAATTTAATCATAAATTTATATAATTTGTCTATAAATTATGCATTATTCATTAAATTATTGTAAACTATATATAGTTATTATAGTTATTCGAACTGAAGTATGCTATTTTAACTATATTTTTTAGTTAATTCAAACATTAAAAACTGCGTTAAACTATAAAATATAGTAAACATTACCATAACAAACAACTATATTTATATAGTCATAATAAGTAAATCATTTTAGTTATTTTACCTATTAAATAGTTATGTCTACTAAAATTTTTTTAACTATAGTATTATAGTGATTTTTTTTCCGTGTATATAAAAAAAATTGTTAAATAAAATTAATATTTATTATGAGTGACGTGCAGCATATACAGATATATCAAATCATTTTTATACCACTTGTTATATAAAAAAAATACTAGTTTTCAATGTATATTTAGACCTTAGACTTTAATATAAGTAAGTACAGGTAAAAATGTGATTGCAATTTCACGGAAAGCATAGTTGATTCCCACTGGACATGATTGACATGATTTACCCTTTTAATTAATACATATAATATGTTTAATAAATATTATATTATTATGCATTGTTATACTAATAAATAATTACATGAATACCGATGCAATGAAAGTTGCACCGAAGTCTTTTACAAGTATGTGATGATGTGACTTTGGATTTAGGGTTTCAGTTTTCCAAACTATACCTACAATATAGTATTTTCTGTCAAAAAATAAGAGTTCTCGCCGCCACTAGATTCTTTCATATCGTGGTGCTTATACAGTAGAGTATTGACACAACAACAAAATAAAATATATAATTATTTGTTACATTTGACTTTTAACTGAAGACATTTTAATTTAACTGTTTATGTTCAGATAGCACGAAAAAACTTTTCTAATGTTTCTACCTGACCTGAAAAAAATATCCGAAAATTGTATCGTTTAAATTGTACTTAGTTGTTTTGCATTTATATAGCGAACATAACGCGTATCGTGCTTACAAGCGTAAACGTTTACCATATCATATATGGCATACTGCGTAACATACCTATTCTGAGTAGAAAGTTTTGTTTAAATACATTTAACTAATATTATGACTAGTACTCAGAAGTAGATGACCTAAAAAAAAATATAAATACGACCTAAACGTTTTAAAAAATGCACACAATTATATAAATAGCAAGATAAATAAAACTTTAATTAATTCATGTTGATGCACTTAGTTTTAGAAATCAAATGTTGACAGTATATAGTAAACAATAAAATGCAACAAAATTAATAGTATAATATACTTATAGCTCTATATTATTTATGAATACGTTTATTAATATATTTTATTGTTTAATAAATACAAATACCTTGTCAAATTAATAGTTTAAAATTTGAATTAAAATTATTAAAATGTATTTTAGTTGTACAATTTAGCATTTATTATAAGCAAAGAAACGAAATGATTTTTTTAAAAGTTATCAAAAATTGGTTAATAATTGAGTGAAATTACAAAAAAAAAATACCTTAAAATGTCAAAAAATGAAATATAAAAATCAGATATTTAGATTAGTTTGTTATTGAAACACATTTTTAGCTAAGAAACCAAATCAACTGTACTGCCACATTCAAAAAAGAAAATAATAAGAAGTTATAATAAACTTCCAAGCCCTAATTATTATGACTTACAATAATTATACATTTTATCAACACTCCAACAATATGTCGTCGTGTGCGAAACATTTATCAGTTATGGTTAATTTCATTTTCAGGTGATTCTAATCAGTTACACCTACAGAACGGCATCATGTTGGGATTCGGTGGTCGGGCGGTGTACCACAAAAAGATACCTCCTGGCGTGTGGACACTGTCATTGGAAACGGGATTCGTTGGGTGCGTGCGTGACCTCGTCCTGGATGGTGTAGCAATCAATTTGGTCAGCTCGTCTCTAGAACAGGACCACGGTATTGTTTAATGAGCCAAATAAAGGCCAATTAACTACTGGGTATTGCGAAAAAAAAAATAATATATTGAACGGACGAGATAAAACTATATTATAGTTCACCAGCAATATTGTAGTGTCCATATTATACGTTAGTGAGATTCTGGGGTAAAAGATAGGTAATCAATGATTAGTGAACTGTGAACCGACTTACAGATTTACAAAAAGGTATAACTTGACAAATGATTTAATAACATTTTATAGTAAAACCGTGGTAGTGTTAAAATACAATTTTCAACCAAAAACTGTGATTTAACGTTGTACAAATAAATCTAATACACAAGTGTAGATCATTTAGTCTAGAATATTATATTGTTATGTACCTACGTCAAAACTGTTCAATATATTATTTTGAATTCATTTTTTTTTTTAACTTTTTCAACATGGAAAATTATGTCAATAGTGTCCGTAACTCCACATTGCCCTGAATCTACAAACAGTTGCAAATCAGACACTTGTTACAATGGAGGAATTTGTCACGAAGGCTGGAACCGTGTGATATGTGACTGTTCAAACACCGAGTACGCTGGAGCCACTTGCATGAAAGGTAATGATAAATTTTAAACCAATAATGCTTTATAATACTTAAATTTGAGTTGGATTTCGGACGAAGAAGTAAGTTGATCTCGTTAACGATAGAAGTTTGAAAATTGATACTAAACATTATATAAACTTATTGTAATACAATATTATCCATTTATACATTATTTAGTATACTTAGGTACTCCTTGCCCTTTAAAATTTAACGAATGAAACCGCAGTCCACAACCCATAACATAATTTCTTCATTAGTAGTTATAATGGTTAATACTACAAATTTCCTAAAAGAAAATAATACTGTTTGATTTAAAATTACTTAAATTTTTTTTTTTGATAATTTTATAACAGATAATAGTAGAAATTATCAGCTTATCTATATTTTATAATTTAATAATTTTTTTTTTTAATTAGAAATTAGAAAATAAACTTAATTTCATATTATATTAAGTCTAATTCTGTGTATTATGATTAAAAACAACTTATTTTAGAATAAATAAACTAAAAATTTAAATAATACAAAAGCTAAATTAAAATTGTTATTTCTACAGAATCATCCATGTACAGTTTTAACGGAACACAATACGTACAAGCAATAATGCCGGAAAAGATGACAACTCAAGTTGAAGACATGTATTTTCGATTCAAAACAAATAGGCCCTTGGCAGTGTTAATGAAGACGTTCGACAGTTCATGGGATAGACTGGAAATCGCATTGATAGTTGGAAAAATTAGATTAGCCTTAAAGATCGGTGACAAAGAAAAGGTATTAATTATTATTTATTACCATTTTACTTTCAAAAACTGCCTGTTACAAATACAAAATGTATTAATACATTTTAGTAATGATTTTTATAATTTACCTAAATAATAATTTAAACACAACTTAAAATAAAAAAAATCAGTTGATTTACGATTTCAATTGTTTAAGGTGATTTACAATTTTAGTTTGAAATGTTAAACGTAGAAACAACTATTAAAACATTAATTTGTATTATTTAGGTGGTTCTATGTGGATCTCATTTAGACGATAATAACTGGCATTCAGTGCACTATATTAGAAGGGCACATGAAATTCGTTTAAAAGTGGACAATGTCACTGTTAAAAGTAATTACAACAATTAACATTTATATTTGTCTGCACAGTGATTTTTAAAACAACGATTTTTTTTTTAAGATGATTCCGATATGGAAGATAAAATAACTCTTAGATGGCAAGGTCTATTAGTTGGTGGAACGCCTCCTAAGGATCCAGACGGTTTAGCAAACCTCCCCAGCTTCATCGGTAGCATCCAACAATTTATACTAAACAAAATTAATTATTTTGATCTCGCAAAAATTTCAACCAAAGGCTGTAAGTTTCTACTGACAACCTAGACCGAGTAATGAGATTTAAATTTTAAAGGAGTAAGTATCATTTGTTTTTATTTTCAGTTTCGGAAGACTTGCCCAAAGTACACATGACCTCCAAATATCAAAAACAAGAAAAACCTCCTTCATTGGTGCACACGGTTACGTTCCTGTCAAAGAATACGTTCATAGGATTGCCACCATTAAAGGCCTACTCCAGAATGGAAGTTTACTATCGATTTAAGACTAAGCACACATCTGGATTGTTTTTCTACAACGGTGGAAAACACAACGACTTTGCACTTGCCGAATTGATCAATGGCCACATACTTATCAACATTCGTTCAGGCACGCACGTGATTCGACTTCGGACACTTCGAGAACAGTTACAGTGCAACTAGTGCATTCGGTGCACTTGTTACAAATATCGGCCACTATGTTTTGTCTACTTATTGACGATCAGGTAGCGTCAACCACAACCATCTCTAGACCACACAACATACAATTGAACGGGATGTTTTATGTTGGTGAGTTCAATTCGTTGTTAATTTGTTTTGATATAGGTAGTACATTGGATAAGTCTCCTATGTTGAAAATCGTAATTTATACAGAAGACATGTGTATGATATATAAATATATTGTATTAAATAGTATATGCTTTGAATATGTCTTTATAAAAATATGACGCATTTTTACAGGTGGCGTGCCTAAAGAATTGCATAAACGTCAGTCAAAGCACATACACTCGAGACACGGGTTTGAGGGATGCATGTCCGGATTGGAATACAATGGCGAATCTCCGGACATGGTAGAGAATGCCACCATACCCAGCACACTCATCACCGTTGGTTGCGACGGTAAGTTCATGAATAGTCTACATCAGAGTTCACCTTTTCGATATGGTGACCCACTATTTAACCCTTCTTTTACTAACAACCCATAAATAAAAAGTGTAGTAGCATTGTCCTACACTGTAATAGGTGAGTAGAAGTAAAATTATATAATTTAATCTTTTGATCTCAGAACATTGTGCTTGTGATCCATCAACAGAATTTTGTGACCCAAACGTCCCAAACACAGTGCTTATGTCAGTTAATATTTTTCATGGGTGTCGTTGGAAATTTTCTTGGTTCGAAATAAATACGACACAAATAATTCTAATAATATACAAATATCTATGTCCCGGGGGATATTATCCCCCTCAGGACACCACCTAAAATAATTACTGCCAAACTTGGGTTGGGAGACATTGTTCTACATAGTATTTTTACAAATATATGAGATGATATTATAGCTTATATACAATATTGTTGCTTGACTCTCTGATTGCATGACACAGGACTTAGCAAAATGTGCACGCAAGACATGTGTGACAACCACGGAACGTGCGTGGAACAGTGGAATTCGTATTCGTGCGATTGCGACATGACAGCATTTGTTGGACCGACATGTTCTGAACGTAAGTTAGAAATCAGATATATCAGATATTTAACATATTATAATTCATACGTTAGGTTTTATTTTTAACTATCCACAACGGTAATAATTGCTTTTAAAACAAAACGTAAAAACGTTTTTACGCCTTTACATAGTCGAAAATTGATTGTATAAGTTTGATTCACGTTTTATATTATTCGTGTATTTATAAAAGCTGAGATTAAAAAAAATTTTCGTTTCAGCGTCTATTTCTTATGATTTTGGCCCTGATGGGGGTCTTGTGACATATGCGTTCCCCGATGGACGCCAACCAGATATGCAAAACGACCTATTGGCTTTGGGTTTCATCACGTCCAAGTCCAGCGGTGTGCTGTTCCGCGTAGAAAGTGGCACTTCTGGTGATTACCTACAGCTTGAAATGGTAACTATTATATTCTACCTAAATTATGACATTATGAATACTTTTTTTTAGTAAATTTATTCCTTATTATACAATATGAAATACAAATTTATCACAATAGCTATAAACTATTCGAACATTTTTATCAGTTTAAAAGTTTGTTTTGAATTATTTTTTCCATAAGCTTTCATATAACTAAAATCGATTTTTAGAAAATATTGATGTTTAAGTACATTCAACCAATTTGAAATGTTGAAAAGACGTAATTATAGTTAATATTTGTGATTTTTTTTTTTCATTCATTCACAAATTTAAAATAATTTGTTTGACAATTTATAAAATAATCTTTTTGGAATTTACTGTTGTTTTTTAAAAACATTTAAAAAGAAATTCACTATGTATAGTTTTTAGATTACGATAATAATCTATCTAATAAAAGTATAAAACACTTACCTACTACAGTTTAATTTATTTTATTAATTACATAATGAACAAAACATTAAATAAACAACATACTTTTTATGTTTGACTAAAACTATTAAATAAGCTATTCATTTATTTTTCTTGAGAAAAAAATGTGTGTTTTAATATATATAAACGAAATGATTGAAAACTATTTTCAGATTTTCAAATAAGAATTTAACTTTCTTTTACGTATATTATAGCAGAAAGTTTCTACGTCTTTCAACTACCTACTAAATTTTACATTTTGTAACACAGGTTTTTGCTCCAAACACATTGTAAACTTTAGTAATGACAATATTATGACTTATGAGTATATAAATTTGTAAATTACTGAACTTTTTTATGAATAATATTATAATAAAATTCACATGTTCATAAGTTGTATTGAAATTAGACCATTTTTTTTTTGATAAAGTATTAAATATTTAATTTTTATTAGATAGGTACATTACAATTGATGTTGAACTCTTATGGTATACAGTTAGTATTTTCATGACAATGCGTGTACTATTTTGATATTACCTTATCGTTTGATAAACATTTTAAAAAGAGCGATTTAGTTTTTATAAGTACCCATATGTCCCATATGACTATATACTTACACAAGCAAGTTTTATACTTCGTGTGATAACACGTTATTATTTTTTTTCCAAAAAGGTGAATGGACATATTGTAGTAGTTTACAACGTTGGAACTAATGACCATCCTATCGGTGAGGCAAATGTCATAGTGAACGACAATTCCTATCATTTGGTCAGATTTGTAAGGTCGGGGCCAAACTCGACTTTGCAAGTGGACGATAATAGTATGCAAACTCTGTACCCTTCAGGTGCGTATTGCAATTTTATCTAAATTAGACAAGACGATAATATAATATACGGGAAAATACCAATGCTGTTTGCAGGACACCAACTCAGTGTGTTCAATAGACAGTCAACAATTCAAGTTGGTGGTAGGTGGAATAAAACTAAACAACGTATTGAAGACGCGTTCGAAGGAGTTATGGTGGGTTTGGTCTTCAATGGCCTCAGGGTGTTTGACTTGACGGCCAACAGAGATCCAAGGACAACCAGCAAAGGAGATGCTCAACAGTTGTCATCGATTTTGGACAGGCTGAACGAACACTCTCTGCTGGATACCATGCAACAGGTTAATTCAAATATTTATAAAATATATTTATTATTAAAAATAATATACACAGCTTCATATAACAATGATTAATGAGGTATTTGAAACCTTAACCATTTAACAATTTCAACTTATTAATACCTAAAATGTAAATATTTAGACACCAGCATCGGGGGTAATGGACGACTTAGTATACTCTGGAGCAGGATCTGGTTGTAACCACGACGATGAAGACCAGTGTACTGTAACATTTGATGTTGGGTCTGGTGAGTAATTATAACTATTTATTCATATAAAAAATATTTTGATTAGGATTCAATAATTTCATAGACATAAGTTTAATTTGATTCCTATTTCCATCCCATTTTAAATTAATACAACTTCATAGTACTATTTACCTATATATCACATTATACTATCGGTGGAAATTACAATTATTTAGTTTATATTTTTGAAACTCATAAAATATTATTGTAAATTCAGCTTTGTAATATTTTAATATTTTCAGCGAATTAAAATAATTGGTTTTGTAATAATAATAACTAAGTACTAAAAACATTGATTAAATATTGTATTTTTGTTTTTTTTCGATACAGGAGATGACTTGATTACACCCGTATATGTACCTCCAACAGTTGTACCACCTCCATCATTAGTAACTGAAGTCCCTGGAGCGTGTGATGACGAAGAAACCGATTGTATTACGGGTTCTGGATTTGGCCCAACGTCTTCTACTGACGATTCAGCCACTACTATTAAAAGTATAAAGTTTTTTAATAAATTAATAATAACTAAACATCACAATTTATTTGTTCGTGGGGGTTGATCATAAGCAGGTGGGTAAAAAAATTGAGAAACCGCCTAGGTATACACATAAAAACAAATTTAATGATAATATTTAATCACACACTACTCATACGACATTTAAATGTCATAATAATAATATTAATAATATTATAAATTATAATTAGAGCCTGGTGTGGGTCGATGGTTGGCTTCAGTCGCTAACATGTTCCGAGGTCAAGCATCTGCCAGCGTCACTAGTTCCCGGATGAGTGACCACCCGGGTTTTTAGTGACGAATCCTCGTAACCCCTCTACACAATGTTGTTGCCGAAGCTTAAGCTTAATGTAGATCAACAAAATAAAAAATAAAAATAATTATATACTTACACACTCGAGCAGAAAATAATATATTATTAATTATGACTAATACGTCTGATATAAAATATGCATTATTACTAAATTATAAAACTAAACATCTATAACCCTTAGCTAAACTTATTACGAAACTAAGTCTAGTTGGTTCATATTAGTGGGTATACCTACTAATAACAACTAATCTTTATTTGAAACGAATTGCCACAAAAAGTACATAATATACTTACCAAAGTCGTAGTCACCAATATAATGATAATGCGTTTTAAATATTAATCTAATAATACGTTTCACAGTGTACGATATAATATGACACATGTAACAACCGTTATATTATCGTTTCGTTCAGGTTCACATCCGGTGGTGACGACGTTCAACGGCGCTACCAACTGGACGACGACGTCCATTAACCGATCCGCGGGGGTGGACCAGCAGTCGGTGAACAAGACTGCCACGGCGGGCGCGGGGAGTACCGCGGTTCCGGCCACCAATCAAACGGATCAGTCCTGGTCGTCGGCGGTCACGACCACCGCGACGAAAACGGGCACGCACTCGAGGGTGTCCGGTACCGAGGTAACGGCGACCGCGACCGCGGTGACAAACACGAGCAGTTCGGCCGGCGTGTCGTCATCTGGTGGCAACGAAAAGTCAACCGGAACTGTGGTCATCACCACAAGCACTACCAGCACCTCGACGCACTCGACATCCTTCGACGGCGACAAGCAGACGAACGTGAAATCGGGCGGCGGCGTGAGCGGCGGTGGTTACGAATACGGCGGCGGCAACCGTTACGGCGGCGGTTACGACGAACGCGATGGCGAAACGATGATGACCACGCCAAACGTGGTGTTCGGCGGCGATCATTTCCCGCCGGCGGCCAAACCGACGCCGCCCAAGCACGTCGAGCCGCCGATCAACACGAAGGCGGCCGAAAGCACGGCGTTCGTAGTGCTCGTCACGGCCGCCACGCTCATCATCATCGTGCTCATCATACTGCTCGTGCTCAAGGTCAAGTACAGGACCGACACGAACAGGTATGTACCTGTATTGCAATTAAAACCAAAGAGTAACACGATACAGAATAAATTATGTGGCAGGGTATAATATTATGGGTTTGACTTTGATCGAACATTAATTTATTATTATTATTGGAGTAGCTTCCGTGCTGTTAAAAGTGTATTAATATACAGATATATAAAGTGTATAAAGTGCAGATGAGGAACAGAGTGAGGAGTAATATTATTTGCGAAAACGTACGACTACGCTATTTTTGGATTGTTGTTTTGTTAATTAGTTTGTTGTTAAATTTACAAGTCTTTTGGACATCTGATCTCGTATCTTTATGATAATTTATTATTATACATATTATTTATTAAACAATGAAGATAAATAATTATGAGCAAACCTGCCAAACCTACATGGACATTAATTTAATGTGCATGAGGGATGTGCTCGTATTGATGTGTTTGTTCAGTATATTATATTATATTAGTAGGTATGTATGAACATTGAACGGTGATAAGCAATGAAGTAACATTTTATTCTTACTATTTAGTATGTCAGCATATATTATAGTTAAAGACGGATTTATAGTTTTTACATATCGTTACTGGGTCTATTGCAGTCTTATGAGAGTAAAAAATGTGGACGTTCATTCTGAATGCGTAGAAAAAAGTTTTTTTTGCATATTTGAGAATATTTCATGGGTTGGAGAATATTTAACCCATTTAGCATATTTTGGAATATTTCGTAAATTGTGAGCAAAAATTTGTATTTATTTTTATTAATTTGAATATTACGGTACTATGAAAAATTTTTTTTGACCATTTACAATTTTTTTTTTTTTCATTTTGATAAAAATAAAACACGCAGTATTATCAAGGTTTATCTATGTATATCTACTGATAAGATCAACTTATAAGTTTATCAAATATTCAAATATCAAAATGTTGTTTTTGTGTTTAATATTTTACTGTTGTATATATCATTCCAACTTTTACTCGCTAAAGTGCAATACTATTCATGAGGTAAATATGCCAACTCTACACTAATTAATAATCACTATAAAAATAGTTGAAAATAAAATCTTAAAAAATTAAAGCATATTTAAAGCATATAATGCTGTTTTTGATTATTTTTGCAGATTTTTTTTTTAAATTTTTGACGCGACCTAATGCGAATATTTGAAGGTTTTTTCGAGAATTTAGAATCCTATTTGGGTATTTAAAGAATATAAAATCCGGCTTTAATATAGTGTTGGTTTTATCTCGTTTCACCCACGTGCAACACATAAAATTTATGTGTTATCAGCTTTAGTACCTAAATTAGAGTTGCCTATCATTAGCTGTATCTATTATAAGTTGGTCTTTTTGCAATATTTCGCTTTTTATACCAATTGTATATATGTTTAGGTACCTACCTATATCGAACTATTAAAATTTATTTAAAAATGCTCATATTTTGCTTTGTAAAAATTCCAACGTAGGTAGATAATTGTGTCTAGATAATTTAGGTATACAAATGAAAATATATTTATATTTCCATCTTATCCAGATAAAAATAACTTAAAGTATCTTTTTATATATCTATATAAATAAAATAGTTACCTGAGATAATTTTCTGTGACAAGATTTTTCAAATTTATTGTTACGCGTCTTTGCTTTTTTTTTTGCGGTTGTGGTGAAAATTTTTCTAACCTATTAAACGCAAATACGATATTATATTGGACGTTGGTCACAGATAGAAAATAAATAGTGCGCTGACATCCTCTTGCGTAAATCTGGCGGAAAACAAAACAGTATGAATTTCTCCACATCGGACGCACCGTAGAGCGAAGGAACAGCATGGTCAGAATAGAAATCCCGGGAATTGCTGGAGTGTGGATTTACGTATGACGTTCAGATTTTCGTCTGGCCGCTGGCCACGTGGAAAATCAAATTTGTAAATAGCTTACATTATGTGATCTACCTATATATTGAGCTTCGTTGTTCTATCCATTTTATTATTAAATTTGTTATAAGATATATATTCTCAATATATTTTTTATTAATAAAACATTACATTAATTGCAGGTACAAGATCGAAATGCCCAAAGCTTACTGCGCGCCCGTCGAACAGGGCTCGGACAGGGGTGGCCTGTGCCAACAGCAGCAGCAGCAGCAGCACCATCTGCACCATCAGCAGCAGGCCAACCTGCTGTCGCCGGGCAACTATCCGTCGTCGGCGCAGTCGTCGCCAACGTACGCGCACAACAACTTCAGGCCGCACAGTGGCGGAAGCGGTGTCGGTGGAATCGTCGGAGTGAGCAACAAGCCGAAGAAGAGACAGGACGTCAAGGAGTGGTATGTGTGAGGCGGCCAGGCGTACACGTGCCGTACGCTCACCGCCGTACCCATACGGCACTGCTCGGAAAACAATAACGATAATAATACGCCCAAATATTATTATACCTACGACATAGTATTGTGTATATAAAGTGTATGATAACGTTATCATTTAGGTACCTATTTAATATTATTATTATCATTGTGAAATTTGTAAATGTACATAATAGTGTGTAGGTGTATAGGCATAATAGGTAGCCAATGTAAATATTATAATATACCTATTTCGCGAGTCGCGACGACGTACGGAAACGGACCGTGTTTGCATTAGTGGCGATAACCGCACGTGGTATACTATGTGTAACCGCTTGCAACCATAATATATTAAACCGCACGCATTGTTATTACTTGCGGAACGGCGACGTGAACGTTTAAACCAGCCCGACTATATGCGTACTGCGTAGTTCTGAACCATGTGCAGATATTTTATAACATCGTATTAAACGATTGTTCACGATAAAATATTGTTTGTGGAGCATGATAATAATATATTATTTGTTATATTCATAATGTACAATGACGTATTTGTGTTCTATAATAATATTATATTATATCCTAATTATGGGTATTGTAATTCACGAGACGATCGAATTGTATTCGAAAAAAAATCGTCCTCGGGCCACGTCGAAAATCGTCTGCAAGACTAAATTATTATGATGGTGATCTATACCTACGACGGGATTATGGTTGGGTTTTAAATATTTAAGAATAATTTGCTTGACCGTGCGATCGAATTTTGTTATATACATATAATATTAATATTAATTACTATTAGACGCGTGTAATTTGTATTTGTATTGTACTTTTTTTTCACCCAATACTATTTGTGTCATTATTCTTCCATCCTCCACGGTGTACATATTATTAGGTACTTAAGTACCTACCAATCGGTTATATTTTACTAATATTATTATGACTAGGGTTAGGATGTTTATGGCTGTAAAAAACCTCTGAAAAAAATTATTCAAATATGCCTAAAATATATCAAAGATGGAACCTTTGGCACATACTCTCAAGGCATTAAAATATGACATGATAAATTGCGTTATTCGTTTAAAAAATAATACCAATGTATTTTTAATGGCTCACGTGGATATCTAAAATGTAAGAAAAATACATACAATGAATACCTTTTTACAAAAATTCGACCTATGGTATAAACGTGTTATAACGTATTATAAATAGTAAAAATGCATTTATAACTAAATGTACTCAAAATTAAATTAAATTTAACTACTGTTCTGTGTCATACCAAACAGGTTTATAATTTAAACTGAAACGTGCACGACAAAAAAAATGTGTATCTGGTACAAGTCATAAACATCTTAACACTAATTTATTGCGATTGTACGAGACGTGCTGAGTATGTTCCATTTTACTATTCAACTTTATGGATATATCAGTACGAAAATTATACGCATTGGTTTTCTATTGACATTTTTATATTTGCTCTCTGTTTTACTACTAGCATTAGGTATACCGTATTATTATATAGCTATGTCATATGTACGCGTATTCTTCAATAGAAATCCATGGATATTGATTTCGATGGATTTTTTTTTCGATTTTGCGTTTCAAGGATGAGACAATAATATTTATTACTTTTATAGGTAGGTATTTAAAAATAACTCAAAATATAGCAAAAGCTACTATTGCCACATTTTTTTGTCCTGAATCGTCGACCCGGGCTAGGAGAACTACTGCCGCCATCATTTATTTACAAAACGTCAAACATTATTTACAATAGTATAGCAAGTAGGTACAATAAATTACAATTACAGTTTACAAAATTACGGATATTTTTATCACAATAATTTACAAGTAACGGTTGTGTTCAGCACCTTGGCGTCGGTTTATTATCGATCCGCTTACTGTGGCTGCCCATTATTATTATTACTACTACTACAATAATAATTATGAAATGTTATATGTTACCTATGTTATATCATTGCAAATACGGGTTGTATTATTATTATTATTATTATATTATTCCTTGTATAATCTACAATAGCCAAATTGTAATCAAATATGATCTATCATAATAATTTCATTAAGGTATAACAGTAACATCAAATTCACAATGCCATAGTGCCTACCTATAATAGTATACGGGTTTATAATTGTTAAGGGCATTATCTGTAATTTACTCAATACATAATATTACTATTAAATTTGAAATTCAGAAGTACCTACTTAAATTTAACCTACCACGTCATCGCCGATTAATTACCAACATTTTTAAATGTTCAGATATTATTTTGTCTATACTATATCTTGTTTGATTTTAATAAATATGGCGTGTATATCGTGTATGCATAATCACTGGGATTCCAAAAGTTGACCTAGGTACCTATAGAGTTTGTTAATATGTATAGTGTACCTACGTCTAATATATACCTAATACTTACAATAATATGCCATCAATATTCAATATTGCTACAAGTTAGCTCACAGCGTAAAATTAAACAAAAAGTACCCACTTCTTATATGTTTTTGAACTTTAAAATTTTTTTTTTGATTTTTGAAATTTCCAAGAAAAGTATGTTTTTGAAAATAACTTGTTCTTTATATGATTCTAGACGATTATCCATATAATTTATTAAAATTTTAAAAAGACAGAAGACCATTGCAAAAGAGTAGGTACAAATTTGAAATGATCGTGTTGGGTACCTACCTATTTAAAATTGTATACGACTGTAGTCAGTGACATGATAAATAATAATATACTAATAATATTATATACTACAATCATGGTATTATTAGTTAACATAAACGAAAATGTAGTACAAATTAATTTGAAAAGAGTTGACGGTTATTTTTCTCAAATCGTGTAATATCTAAATGGACGTTTTATATTATTTTTACTTACTTAGGTACTTAGTCAAAAATATTGGCTTAACAATTTAGAATTCCTCGTGCATATAGACTACCTCCACCTTTTTTCTTTACACTCGTTAACTAACAATCACATATCAATTAAAAATACTGATTGTATTCTATGCTTTATTTTGCTCTTATAATTATACCTATCTAACTAAGTACCTAACCAATTACTAATAGGTACCTAATACCGGGCAAACCTAATATATAAATCAATATTGGAGTATAATTAAGGGCCTAGTGTAATACCGAAAAATACCAGAAAATATTAGTTCTCATCCTTGAATTTAGCTATGTTATGTATCCTATAGTTCTAATTATTAATTATATTGTTTTTACTATTGTTGATTACCAACCTTATGTACGGAATCAATTATAAGGATATAATATTAATAATTAACGGACTAGAAATTTACACAAATCAATTTTGTCGTTGGTCTGTAACAATGTAATTTTCTTGTTCCATGTATAATGTATAAAGATTATGATTATAAGATAATTTTAAAAAAAGTGTAGATTATTCGTTATATAGCTGAATTTTTGTACAAAAAAAATTGTTAATCTATGACGTGCTATAAATAAAATATCTACCTACTAATAGTTATAATCAATATTATCATGTTATTTACACGCAATAATAGTTTTGTTAGTTGACTTATTGTAGATAATTAATTAAATAGACAAAATATGTATGATTCATATATGTAAATAAATTTTAAATGTAGTTCCTAAATTTTAAATGTAGTTCCCAAAATCTAAGCTCAAAATTGATCGTGAGGCGAATATTTTATTTTATATTTAGCTTAAACAACTAATTTTCCTAGGTACCTACCTATTTGATATTGGTATTTTGATAGAGTATAAACGGTGATAATAATTAAATTTAATAACTAGTAATATATTCTTCTTAATCAATAATAATTATAATTATAACAACATAAATGAGATCCAAAAACAATACAAACGTCTTCAAGCGGTTTAATGAAGCATCGTCAATATATAGCATTAATTATCAAATTACATTTTATATAGTAAAATAATTGTTAAAATTATGTATTGATCAGATACATTCAATTTCACAAAATTATTTACATTTTACTATCGTAATCAACTTACACTTGATTACACTATGTAATGAATAAGGAATTTTAATAAACATTTATATCTATAGACAAAATGTGACATTTTAGAATAATTAAATCTCATTGAAATATATAATAATAATTGTGTATACTTTCTACCTATTTATATTATATAGAGGTATATTATTTTTTATTTCCAATATTCAACCACTATTATTACCTTTTTGTATTCTAAAAAGATATCCATGTCAGATTTTTACATCAACATCAATTTAATGGTTCAGAAATATCGTATTTGTGTTGAAATTATTATAATCAATTAGATGTAAAACTTTCTATTGAAATAATTATGTGTTTTTTATCAATCGTTTATTTAATATTCAATTTTAACTATTATTTGGTGGTTTTATTGTATACATTCAAAAAACTAGAAATAATAATTTTTAATGGTGAGTTACAATACAGTTTAAATAATTTGAAACAACAATAAAAATTATTCATGGACTACGATCTATTTAAATATTTTTAATACATTTTAATGTATTACATATATTATACATACCTCTAATTGTAAATGGGTATATCTTCAAGTAATGAGTGTCTTTTAAATAATTTTAATGATAAAAATTCTTTTACTTGTTTTATTCTTCCAAATCATATCGTATTTGTAATTTTATAACTATTAAAAAAACAAAAAAAAAAAAAAATCAATAAAGCTTAAATAATCAGTAATTAAATCTATTTCAATTGCTTGTTAATAAATTACAAATATCAAAATTATTATTCTATGAATAATGACTATAGGGAAAATTGCAAATTTGATAGGATATTATTGATTTCGTAATAATGCTTTTCTGGCAAGTTAAAATATAATGTTAGTTCTTTCAATGTATTTTTTTATAATATAATTCTATGATTTTTTATGTCCATTACTCGAACGTTATCAATTGCCCCCTCTTTCCCTAAAAATAAATAAATAAAATTCACCTTCCACTACCCTCTTTTT